CAAAACCCCCCACCCTGTGCACCCCCCGAAACATCAGTTAGTGTTCCATTCAATGCAAATAGAATCAACAAATAAGATAGAAAAAAAACAAGTACCGAGCTCTCGAAGCCATAAATAAATTAAAAGAAAAAAATGCAAGAAATGAAATTGAAAATGAGAACAACAGTTAAAGATATAAAATCACACACCGACAATAAAATTGGCAGGCAAAGTGCATCACTCGTAACAGAAAATGTAATGTACATGAAAAGTCGTGAATCATGCGAAGTAGCTGACAGGCTGACAATAATATCACACATGCAAATGCAACATGATACAATGTATCCTACAGGCTACTGCTAATGCACTGGCACCACATGTCAAAAAAAATACAAGAAACAATAGTCTACAAGTCGTGTCGTAGCTGCCTAAATGATATAAGGAAAAAAAAATAATGTAAAGTCTGAACTTAGTAGTGTGCAACCGACGGCACTCTACGAACACCCTACTCAGCCTAATGGCACCAAAATCATACTCTACGAACACCCTACTGCTACCAAAATCATACACACCAACAAATAAAGCACGCACACAACTACTTAGTGTCTGACAATACTGAGACAAGACGAGACGACTCAGACTACCAAAAAAACTACAACCGCACAACATGACGACGTACAGTGCGAGTAGGGGAGAAGCGGAGTGTTGGCCTCATCGGTCAACGACCCTTCTTCCCCTTCCCGCTGTGTCTCCTCGTGCCCCCTCGAGTGTCGGATGTCGTCCTCTTCCTCCCTTATGAGGATGAAGAAGTCCGTGCACCGGAGCGTCTAGATGCACGCGTCGGTGGGGGTCCTTGGGAAGGTGGGGGCTCATCGTAGTCGTCGCCGTCGTCACCATTGGAACCGCTCCTGCTATCCTCCTCTCCCTCCTCCTCGCCCTCGTCGTCCTCGTCCGCATCCCGCACAGCCGCATCCGTATCAGGATCATCCTCCTCGATGCTGACTGGGCCTCCTCCCTTCCTCAACACAACAACCCTCGCACTAGCCTCTGCAATGGTCTGCTCACGATGGGAACCACGAGGCATCTTCAACCCCTCCGCCCCCGAACTCTCTCCAAGTGTTGCGCCTCCCTCTGCAGGCACGGGGCGTGGACGAGGAGGTACTCCACGCTTGCGTGGAGTCTGCTCCTGCACGGCACGCGTCGCTGCTCTCAGAGCGTACTCCAAGGTATCGGTCGACACTCCTCTGCCACGACCTCGCTGAGGATAACAACCCGATGCCGGTACCTCCCTCGCCGTGGTCGTCCTAGCGCCTCCTCCTCCCAAGCCCGGCTGAAGGCGTGCAGTGTGCTCCGTGACACGACGGGTGGAATCCAAATGTATATCTGTCCTCCCGAATATCGTCGTGTCACACACGTCCTGTTGAACTGCTGTCGTGTCACGAATCCTAGATCTCCTAGGCGTGTGTGGGGATCGAGAGCCTCTGCCTGTGGGTGACGATGATGGATCACCTGCAGGTGCTCTGGGAGGAGGGTGTGGCATGTCTCCTGTGCGTGGCGCTGTCTCTGTCACGCCACCCGAAACCCCTGGAACATGTCCCGCGGTATGTCCTCCAGTGGAGGTAGACCCAGACCACACGGGCGACGCAGGACCCCATGGAACCGAAGGGATCGACTGCCATGGTGGGTGCTCGAGCTTCTGGTCGAAGATCCGCCGGTCCAAGCGAGTAACATCGCGCACAGCCTCTCCCGCCAACTCCTCTGCATCCAAAGGACGACGTACCTCCTGCGGAGCAAAGTGGCTAGGAAGACGTGGGGGCACAACCATCGGCTCGGACCCCAAAACTGTGATAACGGGCGGTGGCACACCATGCACTGCCATCTGAACCACCTGCGGCTGTCGGGCATGAGCCAAGTGCAGGCCCGAGAACGGAACGATTGGACCCGTCGCTGTCTCCTGCCCCTCGCGTCGTGAGTCTATAGCCCCTCGACTCGTCGCTGTCCTGCCTGCACTGCCTCATCCACCGCCTGAGTCCGTCCCTCCACAGCAACGTCCGCTGTCTCTGCTCCACCCGGCATAGCCTCGAGTACCGACTCTGCTGCCAATCCCTCCGCAACGTCCTCCCCCGCCACCACCCCACCCTGCACACAATTCCCCCCTATCTCTAGACGCCGGGCGTCCTCTACGGCCCGTGCGAACGCCTGAGCACGAGGGTCAGTCGATGCCAAAAGTCTAGCCCTCTCTCGCTCCATGATGTCGTGTGCTGCATCTGCAGACTGAGTCGTCGTCCTCTCTCTGGCGGTCTGCGTCGAAGTCCTGCCTGGCGCCTCGTCCCTCGATGGAGCCCGATCCGTCGATGTCGCCCCGCCGCAACTGGGTGGAAGGCCCACCGACAAATCCAAGTCTAAGTRGGTCCCCAWCTCCGAATCTGAAATCCCAAACCCCCTCTCCACACCCGGGGTCATACCCGCTATGGCCGGACCGAGCTCCTCCGTGAGGAACTGCTGCATGAGGCGCTCATCATCGCCCCCACGCTGCACCTCGGCCTGTGCGGCTATGTCCTCCTCCACTGCAGCTGCCGACGGTGCGCAGTGAGCCGGCTCAAGCATGTGCTGTATGCGAGCCTGCACACGCCTGATGATCCGGTCGGCGAACGACGTCCCCAAAGGGGCGCATGCGACCGTGACACGGCGGACAAGATCCTGCGTCCACTCGATCATGAAGGACATGTACTGTCCTCCACGATCCATCCTCCTGAGCAACTYCATGACGGGCTGCATGATATGGACGATGGTGGCCACCCTCTGCCACCATGGATCCCATCTGATCTGTCGGCGCACCCACCGCGCCATGACGCACACATCGGCGGACCACGGGATGGAAGCAAAAGCCCGCGCGTCGTCCCCTCGCATCATGTCCTGCAAAGTGTCCTGCAGGGCCAACAGCCTCTCCAGCATGGAGTAAACAGACGCGAACCGCGTCTCGCAGGAAAGAATAAGCCCCTTCTCGAGGCTGCGCGTCCTAAAAAAATGAAGGGCGGCCTGGTGGGTTTTGAAAAACACCACCAGCACACGAGCGCGTGTGATCGCGTCCACAAACGCGTCGCAACTCATCCCCATGTCTGACAACAATTTGTTGCAGACATGGACGGAGCACGGGAGCCAAGTGATCCTCCTCAGTGCAGGAGGCATGGACGGCGAGGTCAATGCCCTCGCAGCCCCCACATAGGCGGAAGCGGAGTCAGTGCATATCACATTGATCCGCTGCGGCTTGCCAAAGCTGAACTCGTGGAAGATGGTAACCCATCTATGAAGGACGTGCACTGCATCGTCCGGCTTGCCCTCTCGATTGATCGTCGTGTACACGACGACCCCTCGAGATTTCCTCCCGTCGGAGAGGAGGGTGGCACCAGTCACCAAGAATGGCTGCCTCACCTCCTCCAACTCCTCCGCCAACTCCGCACGGTGGGTCTCCACCACCCGCATACTCGCAATCTCGCAGTGGTTGGGGAGCACTGCGCGCGGGGAACTGCCAGGCTGCTCAATCACCTGCTGATATGCCCTCCACGCCTGGTTGCGGAAGGCATTGAAGGAGACCCTCCTGGAATACAACCAGCGAAGAAATGCCTTCTTGTGGCGGGCAACCCACTCGCCACCGTAGACATCAGTCACCTTCTACTGCCGAAGCCTCTTCCCTGCTGTGGTGGCAGCCGGATCACTCCCTCCTTCCTTCCTCTTGCCTGCTCGCCTCCGTCAGTCCTCCAACCTCTCCTCAGTGCCTGGATAAACCTCAGGCACGTCCTCCCGTTCCGAGACTCCCTCGTCACCCGGGCCACGCGCCTCGCGATCCACGTGGATCACGCCCTCCTCTGTCTCACCGCCTCCACCACCCAAAGTGGGGTCTGCCGCACCATGCCCACCATCTCCCCCGACCCCTCCCTCCGCCGGACGCCGCCCCGCCTCTCCTCCCCTTGCACCACCCGTGCCGGGCACATCGATTCCGCGCTCCGCTGCATACCTCGACACCCTCTCCATCTGATCGGCCTCAAACTTCTGCTGAGTCCGGCGAGCAATCTCGTACAACGCCTCGTCGCTGACGTCCTTGCAGTAGTTTGTCTGCGAGAAGTGCCTCGTGGCCTGAAACTGGGACCCTTGGAAAACTTTGTTGCAAAACGTGCAACGGAGCATCATGACCCCCTTGTTGTCGACCTTCTGGCCGACAAACAGGTACCGATAGACAGGGGAGCGGGCCCTGAATGTGTCCTGCACATGGTCCACGGCAGCCTCATGCTGACGGCGCTGTGACCTCCCCATGTCGATCACTCTAGCGAGACAACCCTCGCTGACTTCCCCCGACCGCACCGCTGCAACCCAACACCCGTTAACCGCTGCCTGCCGCAGGGTCCCCCTTCCCCCCCCCCCCCCCC